AAGAGTGTTGCCTAGGGTCGAGACAGAGACTCAGCACCCTTGGCTGTATTCCAAATTCTCTTCCTGACTTGCTGGGGGACAGTGGGCAAGTCACTTCACTTCTTGGGCCACAAGGCTGAAGCTTTCCAGGCTCACAAGGCTGCTGGGAAAAGAGGCTCACAGCATTATCCATAGGGTAAGGGCTCATTTAAACATGGCTTATATCATATCAGATATGGGGAGCAGGAGATGATGCCCATGTGAGCGTACCCTGATATCATTGTGACATCACAATATAGCAAGGGCATGTTGTATTGTGACCTTCAATAGGAGATGCGCAAGGACCAGTTTTAGTTGGGGTCCCACCCTGCACAGCCTTGGAAGGAAATCTTAGAGCAGTGGCATAATACAGAGCCATTGCCCTACCTCCTCCTGTTGGAGTCTGTTCAGCAGAAGGCTCACAGTAATGGCCAGCTCCACGTCTGCCTGGCCAAACCCTGGGCCAAGATTGCCCTGAGCCTGATCCATCGGGCTTCTCCCTGCAGAGGCATAACTGGTGGAAAAACCTGAAATGAAGGGAAAAGATTCTGTTGATTTCTGCATGATAAATCATGTTGGTCTCATTCATCACCACCCACTAGCAGGTCTGCTGGAGCCAAACCCTGTGGCCTGGCGACAAAGGAAAGGTTTCCTAGTACAGCAATAACAGGAGAGCTCTCCAGGCTCCACCCTCCTGGGCTGAGACAGCTGGTACTGCCAAAGAGGCACTTTCCTTAGTGCAACTTAGTTCTACCAGAAAGCCTTTCTTTGTCAGTACGATGGAGATGATGCTCTGGTGTCGGCCAGTCTCCGAAGGTAAAAATCTATAATCATCAGTCCTGTGCACAGTGGCCACAGCTATACCAGCCAAAGGGGCAAGAGTGGACCTGGTCAGGGAAAAGAAGATGCGTCTTCCTTTTCTCCTGCTCTGTTATGCTAGAAGATTTTCTTGCAAAATGGCCCAGCCAGTTAGAAGGGGAGATTACTGTGACATTTGTTTCCAGGCAAATAAGGGAAAGTTGTGCAGACAATAACAATTCTTTTCTCCTTGACAATTAGTTGGAGAATTGGGATCACACACCCAACACGATGGTTTAGGGCCAAAGTTTTTTAAAGCTAGGATGCCTATACACCCCCAGCCACTCTAATTAAAACGGCTCACTGTCACTTGTATTAAGCACCCCACATTTTTAAATGGCCATGGGAGCAGTTTAACTAAAGCTTATTCAATGAGTTTTAGTTAAAGCACTCCCACAGCTATTTTAAAATGTGTGGGTGGGGGGAGGGCTTAATACACATGACAGTGAGGCAATGCTGGAGCATTTTAATTAAAATGTGGAGCAGACTTAATTCATTGAGCCTGCTTCAATGTGTTATGGTTAGAATGCAAACCAGCACGTACATAGCCTGCCCTAGTGCTTAAGTTTAGGTAATTTATACAGACACCTCACACCACCCACATGGCTACAAGGGGAACAGGATGGAAGGAGGCCTTTCCCAGAACATCTAACATAGTCTCTGATGATTGGAGGCATGCCAGTGTTCAGAGGCTAAAGACTTGATCCTGACCTGATATCAATCACCCAAGCTACAGTCCAGGCCACCAAGTAACACTGTTTGGACAACTGAAAGTCTGGCTCTAGAAAATCTGATTTTAGCTAATCCACTTATTCTTTGTGCTTTCAAGAATGGGTATGGGGCTAGAGATTAGGCATGGAGAACATCATGGGGATCTTACCTCTGCTGCGTAGTTTCAGGTTGATGACTTCCATTGTTCGAAGTTGACTTAAATAAGCTTTCCTTCTCTCACTCGCTGAGCAGCTCCTACTGCAAAGGTGTCCAGAGCCACTCAAGCCACAAGGTCCAGGACCCAGGAAAGAGGTGAGCCAACAGCCTTTGTGATGTAAGCACCACTGTTACAACTAGCTGACCATGTCCTACCTCATAGGTGGCTGCTGACCAATGAGGGGCTGTGTATTATGTAAGCTTTCACAGGGCTGCATAAGGCTCCATATATACATATCCCCAGAGGAGGGTAAATTTGTTTTGATGTAGAATATTTTAGTCCTTCAGATCACCTTGGCGTCGTCTGTCTTCTCCTGGTGCGCTGTACCTTCCAACACTGATTTAGTATTTAAATCTGCCCATGGCTGAATTTGTAAAAAATAAAAACAGGTAGGAACCAGGAGAAGCTTCCTCTCAGTTGCTAATTGCTTGGCCTCCTTTGTTTTTTCATCTTGCCATCCAAAAGGTACAGCAATAACAGGAGAGCTCTCCAGGCTCCACCCTCCTGGGCTGAGACAGCTGGTACTGCCAAAGAGGCACTTTCCTTAGTGCAACTTAGTTCTACCAGAAAGCCTTTCTTTGTCAGTACGATGGAGATGATGCTCTGGTGTCGGCCAGGCTCCGAAGGTAAAAATCTATAATCATCAGTCCTGTGCACAGTGGCCACAGCTATACCAGCCAAAGGGGCAAGAGTGGACCTGGTCAGGGAAAAGAAGATGCGTCTTCCTTTTCTCCTGCTCTGTTATGCTAGAAGATTTTCTTGCAAAATGGCCCAGCCAGTTAGAAGGGGAGATTACTGTGACATTTGTTTCCAGGCAAATAAGGGAAAGTTGTGCAGACAATAACAATTCTTTTCTCCTTGACAATTAGTTGGAGAATTGGGATCACACACCCAACACGATGGTTTAGGGCCAAAGTTTTTTAAAGCTAGGATGCCTATACACATACCGGTGGTGGGGAGGGGCTGTTTAAATTAGAATGGCTCCCCAACAGCCACTCTAATTAAAACGGCTCACTGTCACTTGTATTAAGCACCCCACATTTTTAAATGGCCATGGGAGCAGTTTAACTAAAGCTTATTCAATGAGTTTTAGTTAAAGCACTCCCACAGCTATTTTAAAATGTGTGGGTGGGGGGAGGGCTTAATACACATGACAGTGAGGCAATGCTGGAGCATTTTAATTAAAATGTGGAGCAGACTTAATTCATTGAGCCTGCTTCAATGTGTTATGGTTAGAATGCAAACCAGCACGTACATAGCCTGCCCTAGTGCTTAAGTTTAGGTAATTTATACAGACACCTCACACCACCCACATGGCTACAAGGGGAACAGGATGGAAGGAGGCCTTTCCCAGAACATCTAACATAGTCTCTGATGATTGGAGGCATGCCAGTGTTCAGAGGCTAAAGACTTGATCCTGACCTGATATCAATCACCCAAGCTACAGTCCAGGCCACCAAGTAACACTGTTTGGACAACTGAAAGTCTGGCTCTAGAAAATCTGATTTTAGCTAATCCACTTATTCTTTGTGCTTTCAAGAATGGGTATGGGGCTAGAGATTAGGCATGGAGAACATCATGGGGATCTTACCTCTGCTGCGTAGTTTCAGGTTGATGACTTCCATTGTTCGAAGTTGACTTAAATAAGCTTTCCTTCTCTCACTCGCTGAGCAGCTCCTACTGCAAAGGTGTCCAGAGCCACTCAAGCCACAAGGTCCAGGACCCAGGAAAGAGGTGAGCCAACAGCCTTTGTGATGTAAGCACCACTGTTACAACTAGCTGACCATGTCCTACCTCATAGGTGGCTGCTGACCAATGAGGGGCTGTGTATTATGTAAGCTTTCACAGGGCTGCATAAGGCTCCATATATACATATCCCCAGAGGAGGGTAAATTTGTTTTGATGTAGAATATTTTAGTCCTTCAGATCACCTTGGCGTCGTCTGTCTTCTCCTGGTGCGCTGTACCTTCCAACACTGATTTAGTATTTAAATCTGCCCATGGCTGAATTTGTAAAAAATAAAAACAGGTAGGAACCAGGAGAAGCTTCCTCTCAGTTGCTAATTGCTTGGCCTCCTTTGTTTTTTCATCTTGCCATCCAAAAGGGCTTGTTGAAGCCCTTAGATGTTACAGGACTGGGTTGCAACCATCTTGTACATCCACCCTACCAAATACACCCTGCCCATATGGGTCTTGGGACTGTCTACATGGAAGTCCCACCCGCCCCCTCCATCCAGTGCCCTTAGTGGTGGGTGTGGGGTGGATGGCTGCCATGAAATCTACTCAAGAAGTCAATGATTCAGGACTTTAAAACTTGGCCCATTGGGAATCTCACACAATTGTCTCATGAGGTAGAAAATCTCTCTATATAAAGGGCTTAGTCCATCTTTCTGTATGTCTGTAATGCTCTTGGTCAAGTGCGCCTGTGCTACTGAGAGGACGGTGATTGGCTGCATGGGCCCAGGTGGGTGCAGGGTGGGGGGAGGTGAAGCAGGGGTCACAGTGGTGGTGCCCCCTGCCACCCAGCCCTGCTGTCCCCCCAGTGCCCAGAGGGGTAGGGTGCCTGTGGTAGAAAAGACTTACCCCAACTGGGCAATGAGCGGAGCCGGTGGGTTGCCGCACCAGAACAAAAATGCGGTGAAAGTGAAACAGTGGTGGGAGAAGATGCTGCATTAAAAGAAAAAAAGGAAAAAGGAATGACAGAGCCGGCCTGGCTCCTGCATCAGCATGGGCGTGCTTTATGGCCGCGTGCTGGGGCTGATTTGTCAGTCGGCCCCCTGAGACCGGGATAAAAGGCCCAGTGGAAGAGCAACACAAGGGACCAGAATCGAGTTCCCCAGTGGTCCCAGAGCAGCCTGGAATACTACAGCCTCGAACAGGGACGTGGTGGCTGCCCCAGGAAGGGGCTTTCCCAGATAACCAGAGCCAAACAAGGCTCAGTGACTCACCGAAAGAAGCACCATGGATTGTGGACATCTCCAGCCCAGATTGGACCCAGATGGGACCTGACGGGACAAGAAGAGGTAACCCAGGGTTGGGAAGATGCTTAGGCAGGACCAAGTATATTCGGGGAAAACTCCAACGAAGTAACATCCCAAATAGACCATCATAAATTCAGAGGACCAGAACACCGGGCTTTATACTGTACCAGCTTTAGCAATCCGGAAACAACACCTTTGGTTGGTGTTAGGCGGGGTGTAGGGGAGGCAGAGCCCCAAGTAGGAAGAACAGTCAGGAAGATTGAAGGAAAGTACCAGGAAGGGTGGGACAAACCATTTTCCTCCCAATTGAAATAATTCATTCCAGCAAGAGGTGGCAGGAGAGACCCCCTGGGGAACCTTCCAAGATCTAACCCAGTAACAAGCTTGTCTCTTCCTTAAGCAACGGCGAAACCAGAAAAAGCCCTACAGACATGACGCATGGGTGAATGGCACAGGAGACTACAGTGCTCAATGCAACAGCTGGCAGGGAGGGAGAGGCAGCGGGGAGGGAGAGAAGGAGGGAGGGGAGCAGGGAGGGGAACCAGGGAGGTCAGGGGGAAGCCCCGCTGCTTGGGAGAGGAGGCGGAGGCGGCTGGGAGGAGGAAGCCCCTGCACCGTAGGCTGGAGAAGGCAGTGGTGTTGGTGGCACTGTTTATAAGACTGACTATGATCACTACTCTTAATTAGCAGATAAGGATAGTGAAACAAAGAGAGATTAAGTGGCGGGTCTAGAAGATGTCCTGGTGCAGGGAACTGAACTGAGACCTCTTCAGTACCTTTTCAGAGACCTCTGATGTGTCAAAATATCACTGCAGAGGGTTCACTCTTGGTTTTCCTGAGATGCCTGTAACTCATGGAGGGGGAGGGAGTCTTTCCTGATGATACTAGAATGGTTGCATGTACTGCTAAATGAATAGGTGTGATTAAGTGTAGCATGCGTACACTGAAGGACATGCAGGACAAGTAAAATGAATAAATGGTTGGAGGAAGTGTACAAGATGGTGGAGCTGTTATATTTTTATGTGAATACAGCATCTGGTTTAATCAGGCTCTTTGCTTCCTTCAAAACTCAGTGAGAGGCTGACACCCCTTCTGCACAGGGATACCTACATGAGCACTTTTCTCTAAATTTAGCAACAGCAAGGTCTGTGAGCTTACATGCGCTATGTTGTCTATTGCCAAAATTTTGCCAAATTTTGCCAGGCTATTAAGGCTGTCTGTACAGCATCTTACAGGGCGCCGAGCACAAACATCAGTCTTCTAAAACAGTGCCTCCTAGTGGCAGGTCAGGCATACAGCATGTGCAGCAGTTTCCCTTGATTGTTGCATGCTTCTGGCTTGAACTTCAGAAATGGACATTGCCCCTTCAGTCCTGCTGCAGGTGCTCAGTCTCTCTGAAAACTAGGCCATAATCTTAACTCCTTCTATAAAGAAATGGGATCTCTTCCATGTGCAATTTCCTCTTAGCTCATGCGCTCTCCTCAGATTTAAAGAAGGAAGGAAGTCTGGTTTGGTGTCTAGGGCTATGATTTCCCTCTAGTGGAAACTGGCTTAAGATTCTCAGTTCACTTCACACAGACCTCTGGGGACAGCCTTGGGACTGATGTGAAACAATACTCTGTAGATTATAGATTGTATAGGATTGTTTGGATAGGGATGATCCTGCCTCAGATTGGACCTCTCTACAGCAACAGCATACTCCTCTGTTCTTCTTTCCTATATATGGTTTCTCTTACAGACCATACCTGTATGCTTGTGCATATGTGTCAGTCAAATGACTGCTGAAAGATCCTCTTTTTATAGCCTCAAGACAACTTTGTCAGGAGTCTGAACAAAGGAGCACAACAGACAGCTAGCTAATCAGAAACCTCCTGGAGACTTTAAAAGCTTGGTGGAGACTTGAAAAGCTGCTTGCCCTGGGCAATAGGCATTCTTTTTGTCCAACGGTCCTTCATTTGAATGGATGATCAAAATTTAACAGGCCTCTATTGTTAGCTTTGTGCCAGGTACAAGAATTTTCCCTGTCATCTTCTGTAGATATGATCTCCTATGGAGGCAATATACAGCAGAGACAGCCACCAAGTCCTATATTCAAAATGGCATCTGAAGTCTGATACATATACACCCAATGTCAACATAATTATAAAGTGCATATAGATTACTCAAATCAGCAGATAGACAGCACCATACATTTTCATTTACCGTATTTCAGTGAACTAAAAATTCTAAAAGGATACTAAATAAGACATAAACTTAGGAAATGGCATCTCCCTTCCCCCTGTCATTATTTGCTTTTATGGTTATTCTTTAGTGAAGACTTCAGTGCAACTCTCTAGAGCTTTTTCTCTTAGAGTGCATTATATATTGTAAAGGTTAAAATTCATTTAAAAGACTGCCATTCTGGAGTGAAGGTCCTTGAAGTGAAAAGCAGACTTATATAAACTCCAAGGTCATTTATTACATATGATTAATATCTGATTACATAGGAATTATTTTACATCAGCACAATAATTAATATATAGTTATTGTCAGTTATGTAGTTTGCGCAGTGGCAGTATTGTAGCCAATGAGGTTAATCCAAGGTGCAATTATTGCTAATTAATATGTAGTTGTTGAAAATAAAAGCACTGTAAAATATGAAGGACCTCCATATTAATGCATGCATTCAGGTGCAGATTGTAAAAAGTCTCTGTAATTAGTTTATTTGGCTTTTTTAAAGTTCTTATCAGTACAACTGGAATGTCAACCAGGTAATTTATTCCATTTTTCCACTTATTAATTTTGTAACAATTCTATTTCGTATTTTATATGATTGTATGTACAGTGAGCACATCTGTGCATTTCATTTTTTTTTTTGTCTTTTTGCATCTGGTCGGCAGATGATACACTATTATCTGATTCTGTAGGTCATTTAAAATAGATATTGAGCAATTCTATTTCCTATAGCATTGGTAAAATGCCAAATAGAACTAAGGAAGATACTTGACTCTGGAGAAATACACATATTTAACTTCTGACATAAAGCAAGCAGTGGTTCTGTGTAGTATACTTATTTCAAGAACCTCATCATAGCCAAGCAGCTATGTACTGGAGAATAGACTCACAAGCTTATAAAATATGCAACACTTCCAGGAAGTTTCTTTGGTAAATTGTTCCCCCTGACAAAGTGAAACCAAATATTAATTCATTGCCAGCTGCAGTATTTATCCAACAGAATAGCCAAAATAGTTTTCTCTTCCACCTTGAAAGAATGTCGAGGCTGCATAGAGAAGCAAACTTTTGTGGAAAGTCTTACCTTCCTTTAAACATCAATCTTTATTGAAAAATGGCAGGACTAACTGAACAATTGTTCCAATATTTTTAGATTCTATTCTCCCATCAATATGAAGAATATTTACACAAGTAATACGTTCTGGGCCAAATTACACTCTTGTAGACATGGATGTAACACCACTCTCTTTTCTAAGGTTGCATAAGTTATTACTGAAACAAATCTGCTATTATCACTGCAAAGAAATATTGGCTACCAAAGGAATATTGGTACAAATCCCTTATGCATGGTCAGTTTCTATATAAATATGTAGCTTCCAATTATTCTAGTGTTAGCTGCATCATGTCAAAGGGCAGAATTTAGCCTTTTGATTTGTGTTTAAGCAGAAGTGTATTTGTGAGATTTCACATATCTAACTTTATTCTGATTTCTTTCTATAATAAGGATAATTCTTGCATTTTGGTTTGTGCACTTTACTGTTAATTGGCTTTTGTTTAGAAATACCAGTTTGAAAACTGCAAAATTCTAAGTCTGAACACGGCCCCTAGAATTCAGACTGCTTACTCTTAAGGGTGTCTTTATAAGAAATGTACCAGTATGTTTTTGAACCACAAACAAGACTATGGATTGCGATGTGTTGTACACGTATAACTATTCATTCTACAAGTATAAAGAAGGCTACCAACCACATTAGAACAACCAAGAGTGTTTATTTTATTTAAGTCAATAGGGTCAAACAGCTTTACGCAATGGGGGAAGATACTGATCTTCAGCCCTGAAGTTTCTGCGACTGTTAATGACATGCTTCCTCTAAATAGAGTTTCCAGGAAAATTATCCCCTCTTTGCCATTTCCTTTGTAAATGAACTCCCTAATAAAAATTACCCCTTTAGTCAGACAGTCTGTTGGTATAGTCTGAGAAGTTGAGTAAGTTGTAATGAGTAGCTAATGGCCAACCCTATAGCCCTTGGTGCCTTACAGTACATTGAACTTTTTTTCTACTTGTGGTATTCCATCATATAAAACTGACAGTGTCAGTATCACAGAGATCCTTTATGTGCTGCACACGTAGAACTCTATGAGTTTCAAATTGGACTCCCTTCAGAACAATGTGGAAATAAATACCTGCATTGAGGGGCCTCTGCTACTTTGGATTGGACGGGCAAGGAGAAAGGGGAGTGTCAGAGAACGTGGACCAGACATTTCGCTGGTGTAAATCAGTGCAGTAACATGGACTTTAGCGAAGTCAAACTGCTTTATACCTACTGGGGGCCAGACATTCTCACAGAGTATGACCATATATTATGAAATATTGTTCTGCTGACACTCACATAGAGGCACTACAAGAAAAAAAGAGCAACATTCAATTACCAACAGAAATTTGATCTTTTCAAAGTCAAGGAACAAATAATGATGCCTAATGTTTACCATTGAAATGGGTGTCCCAATTTATGGTACAGGGCAAGGGCACACAGACTTAGGTATTGGTTCAAGTCTGGTGATACTTTGGCATGTAATGACTGTATGGCATTTCAGAGTAGGCCTGATAATTTTTCATGTTTTACATCACCACTGGGAAACGTTCTTTCATTTTGAAGTGTCTTGAAATTTAAGATAGAATGTCACAGTCTTTCCCCATAATTCTAAACTTTATTATGGTAATGTCTAATTGCAAACGTCCAAGTCCAAGGCCTGTGCAGGTAGGTGGTCAAATGCTTTATGAAGTAGCAGCATTTTTCCTGAATGACTGTTTTCATTGGAATGACTTGACTGTAGAATTGCAATGAGTGTAAGAATTGTTTGTTGGATATGATATACTATAGTCTCCTCCTAAAAGACTAGAAAGAGAAATTAGGCCTCCGCAGAGACTATGTTTGATTTCTTAAAGCTAAAAACTTCATATCATATCAAAGGTTCCCAGCCTATGATTTGCCTTCAGCATCTTGTTTACTAACTATACTTCAAAACTCATTTATATGATAGGATTTTCATTTTAAATTCCTACATATTTATCCTTTTTATTTTCTCCAAGGGTAATTTCCTAAACCAAAACTTTTGGGAACAAGACTTTCATGAAGAAAAACAATTCAGTGAAAAGTTCAATACATTTAAGTAACATTTAAGAGCTCTGCAAAATTGGCAAGCATAACTCCATTATTTAGAGAAAAGTAGTTAAACTGAGAAGCCACAGACCCAAAAATTTAACAATGTTTACAAGTGTGGAAAAGCTAGACCTGAAATGCTGGTTTTGTTGAAGCCAACAGGAATTTTGCCATTAGCTTTGTAATAGTGCCAGGATTTTACCCTTGGAAACTCCCTGAATGGGAGTTGTGGGAGGTAACTGGAAGAGTACAAATTGAAACAGAATCATGATGGATTCAGCTGGTGAGACCAGGCATAAGGGGATGTTTGAGGCACCATTGCTCACACAGGGTGCATCTACACAGCAATTAAGTCAAAGCAATAAACTCTAAAGCAGTTTGAGCTGGAGTAAATTACTCCTGGGTGCAGCATTTACATGTGCACCAGAAACAGCAGCAATTTGACCTGCGGCGGAACAGTTTACACCATGGCTAGGGTACACTGGAGGTCAGTCTTGGGCTCTGGGTGGTGGTGTTGGGTGGCAGAAAGGCTGGCTGGGGCATGAGGGTGCTAAAAGTGTGGAGCCATGTGGCTAGGCAGCAGGCAGGAGTCTGGCCTCCTGCTGGCTGGGTTGACTGGGCACAACTTACGCCTGTGGTCAGCATCTACATGTGCATTTAATCACAGTTAATTACCCTGCCATAAGATATTACTGTTCCTGACATCTTATAGCAGTGTTTATTAATTTCCTACAGCCTAATAGCATCACAGGTGTAGACATTGACACTTTACTCCACAGCTACTTAGTCTACTTCACAGTTAAATAGACGTGTAGACACGGCCACAGTATACCTTACCTCACACACAGTCCCAATGAAATCTATTAAACTAATTGGGAAATCATATCTAGATATGGTGTAGCACTTTTCACCAATAGAGCTCGATGTGCTCCACAAAGGCAGCTCAGTCTCATTCTCCCAGCAAGCCAGTATCAGAACAAATTGAGCTCCTTTGAGCCCAGTACAGTACTCTGTTTAGCCTGTCTTGATGATCACTTTCTGTGTGGCATAGAGGACAATGTCAACAAATAATTGCTCATGTAAAACCCGCAGTTGTAAATCTCATCTAAATTAGGAAAATAAAGCATACAAGGCAAAGCCATGTTGTGATCTCATTTACACAGAGGCAAATCAGCATTAGCGCCATGGACATTAATGTTTATGGACATTAATGTCCTGTTGGGAAGTATTACAGTAAAATTGCTGTTATCTGGCATTCTACAAGCCAGAATGCTCTATTAGTTGGAATTTACAGACAGCCAGCCGGACAGGGAGGGGCGGGGTGGGAGCCACCACCCTGCTGCCGCCACCCACCACCCTGCACTG